GTTCTCAACCTGTGGGTCGGGACCCCATTTGGGGTCGAATGACCATTTCACGGGGGTCGCCAAACAAAGCTGTCTGCCATTTTTCCCCCTTTTCTTTGGCCACGCCCCTGGCACCCGGTGATGTATAAGTGGTTGGGGGTCACCAAAACTTGGGGAACTGTATTATGGGGTCGCGGCATTAGAAAGGTTGAGAACCACTATACTAAAAGAAATGCAGAATATAAATGGGAAATTGGTCTATTGTTATTCGCAGCATGTCGGAGAAGCTTCAAGGTTTAAAAAGCTTCAAAAAAATATCAGTACAACTGCCTTTCCTTGGCCCTCTCCATTCAATCTAAGTATAGATGTGAAGCTTGATGATGGAAAAGAACAAAGATTGTCTACTGTCTCTTTCTTGGTAGGCATTTCCATCTAAAATTAGATCCATAGATCCTCATAGAGATGTCTGTTCTGTAATTCCATAGATCTATGTTCCAATGTTCATGCACCTTTGGAGAAGAGACACCTTTTTGTTTATTTTTACAACTGTGGTTTTCCAAATACATTTTGGGCTGCCCAAAATTCATTTTCTAGAAACTGGTATCACTTTACCTTTTTTTTTTTTTTCTGCAGAGCTGGGTTGCAAAAATCTGGGCGACCTAAATAAATGGCTAACAGAATTAAGAGTTTTCCATACCACTTTGTGGCCATCCAGCATCTAGGTTTTGGCACCGGGGTCTGGTCACTATGATTTGTGTAATTTGATTGAATTTTAAACAAAGGAGGATGAGATTATGGATAGGGGGGGAGAACCAGGAAATCCTGGATGTCTGTGACAAAGGAGGATTACATATATAAGTTATATATCCTGTTACACACGGATGTTCCAACCTACAGTAGATGACGTATTAAAGTGCCATTTTTTTAAAAAAAATGTCCTGGGTTAATCAAACAAACCTTGGCAAAGATGCAGGCAGCACAATGAGAAGTTTTAAGTACAATACTTTGAATGAAGAATGGGCCACTTTTAAAACTTCTCTTTTTAGATTTTTCTCTGCGGTTTTTTTTTTTGTTTGTTCTGAATATTAGAATGGTAATAATTAAGAAGGGTGGTAATAATAATAATGATGATGATGTTGGAAGGGACCTTTGAGGTCTTCTAGTCCAACCCCCTGCTCAGGCAGGAAACCCTGTATCATTTCAAACAAATGGTTGTCCAGTCTCTTCTTAAAAACTTCCAGTGATCAAGATAGCACTTAGACTTATATACCACTTCACAATGCTTTACAGCCCTCTCTAAGCAGTTTACAGAGTCGGCATATTGTCCCCCAAAATCTGGCTCCTCATTTTACCAACCTTGGAAGGAGAGAAGTTTGAGTCAACCCTGAGCCGCTGAGAATCGAACTCCTGGCAGGTGGCCGTCAGCAAAATTAGCCTGCATTACTGCATTTCAACCAGGGCCGCACTAGAAAAGACAAATTCAATCTTTTGAATGTGTTATATAAGAAAGTTGTAACTTGGAAGGAAAAGACAAAATAATCTCAAAACAAGAACAACAACAAAAAATAGCAACATATTTCCACATCTGTTGCTTAGAAAATTACCTGGTGATATCTATAAAGCCAATAAAGATTCAGAGGAATATCTCCTGTATTGCATGGATTCCAAAAATATTTATTTCCATCTTGTAATTGTCACAGTACTATTCACCACGGAACACGTTATTTTTTTACTGTAAGATATTTTTATTTTATAATGTCCTAAGCAATTGACATATATATATATATGTATGTATGTATATATGTGTATATATATATGTGTGTGTGTGTGTGTGTGTGTGTGTGTGTGTGTGTGTATATATATATATATATATATATATATATATATATATATATATATATAAACTTTCTGTTAGAAACCTACTCAGTTGTTCA